CTTTGCTGTGAATGTTTTAGTCTGGAGTTGACTTTAACTGAGCACAGTGTGCAGTCTGACTTTGATCGTCTAGCTTTCCAGAAAGGCCATCTGATTCACACACACACACACACCTGCGTGATATTTTCACTTAGAAAAACTATAACTGTGCACCGCGTTCCAGAAAACATGAATGAGAAAGATATAGGTTTGATTCAGATTAAAAGCACAAGCTCTTATTACGTAGAGTGTGTGACATTGTTCTCTGCAATCAAAGACAATTATTCCCTTTCTTAAGCAGAGTAAAACAGTGGTGGTACAAAATGAAAGCCAAGACTATTATGCATATTCTATGTTTTAACATACTGAAATATGAGATATTTTAAGCATGCATGGGCGGGACTAAAATGACTCCGTCCCTTTAGGAGTGCGTGTTGTCGTTCTGTTGTCACTGCTTGCTAAAAACGAACACTATAAAAACTTCCATCGTTAGCATTTCTCCGATACCTCCTAGCCATTCTACTGCCCTAAAATGGTCACAATCTTGCCTAAATACATTCTTGACAACTGAAAAACCACATGATTCCATTGAAGTTAATTTTAAGCCCAAAGTATACTTCAGTTTTTATGCTTTTGTCAGCATACGTGCCTATATTACATGGCGTACACAAAAAAGAGCCCTTATTCCAATTTTGAAATTGATATCACAAAAAACTGCCATTTGTGCGAGGCTTTTTTTAGGTGTTGCACCAAAATTAGCCACCAGGGGACATCCTAATGTGTTGTCCAATCACACAGTAAAACATTGGTTCTGTTCCACTTTTAAACACGCACTCGAAAACTTCCCTTCCCTTGAGGAAACCCTGACACTGTCTTAAAGTGTGTTCAATTTGATCAAGTGAACGAGTTTACATGGATATACCCACAATCCCTCGATTATGACAGAGGGATCAAGTGGACTTCATATGTCCACTCAAGCACCGATATGTCCCAGAATGCAATGTGATTGGGACATCACAACAGTGTAGCTACCTAGTGCTCAAGGGTTTAGGGCATTCCATTTAAACCCAGTCAGATGTTCCACCAGTGGAACAAGATCTTGTGTAACGTGACCAATGACATACATCAGAGTGAATGAGACGGAGGGAAGTTAGCGAGTGAAGAGCGTAAAAAATTGTATTGGAATGCAGCTATTGAGTAGTCTTGAGTATCTTTTCCAACTGATCAATTCAATGTTGACACCTTGTGGACAAACTAAGTAATGCAAAACCAAATTCGAGCTGAGGAAACAATCTCTCCTCATCTAATTAGGCATCATTTGGACCATTTGCATGCTTCCAAAATATATAGTATGCAAAAAACAGTACTTCTGAATTCATAGTATTTAAAAAAACAGTGGACGAGAAGAACCTAGCTGACCTACAACTTCCAGCAACACTCTGATGGTTAGGGTTTCAAATTTATGAATGGTAGTAAAGAGGCACAACTGATGTTTGTAGTGGATATAGTACCTCCGAATTCGACATATTCTATACAAATACAATGCAGAACGTTCTTTTTTAACAGCCCTAAAAATGTAGAACTTACTTTAGCCTGATGTATACTTCTGCATTGAGGGATTTCTATAGTCCACAGAGCACACCGTGCACGTAGCCAAAGCCATTATGAGCATTACACTTTTGGATTCTGTCTGTGTTGCTCTGCACTCACACTTTCAGAATACTAGTAAGCATTGTTTGGTGGTATTTTGGGGGTTAGGCCATAAATGTCAGCCTAATCTCACGAGAAAACGTAAGTATTTTTACGTTTTATCAGTTCAGTAGCTAATTCGCACAATTTGTATGTGTTCAGTCGTACGAAAATGTACCATTTTAAAAAGTGGCACTCAAACCCACCCCTAAACCCAACTATCATTGAGTGATAACCAAATCGTACTAAATTGTACAAATTAAATGATACAAATTCATACGAATTAGCCACTAAATTGAAAAAAAGTTACAAATTGTGGGATTGCATTGGAAATGCATGTAATGCTACTGTAGCAGTAGATTGAACACACACTCACTCAAGAAAGAAATGGGAACCGTTAAACGTTCAACAAATTGAATCATAAAGTAAACACAAAACAAAAGCATCCATTTAAAGGGTCATGAAACACCAAAATATTTTTTGAGTTGTTGACAGTCATATATGTGTCCCATACTGCTAAAAACACTAATAGGACACAAATATTTCCCTAAAAAGAAAAAATTGGTTGTTTTTGCGTTACTTTGAGCATATTCGTACTTCTGGTTTGAAACTAATATTTGAAGCTGCGTCATGGCCATGAGATCCTAGCATGTATTCCAGCGCGTAGACTGGTCGTCTGTAACTGGGAGTGCCTTATTACATCTCTGAGTGTGCTGCAATAATGCATGAGTAAGACTTGGTTCAAACCAATCAGCGCACTTTATTGTGTATGTTTTTACCTGTTACAGTGTTCCGATGGCAGAGCGATAACACGTTGTGTTGCCAAAACAAGCGTGCAGTGTTGCTTTTATAATTTGCTGCAGTGAATTGAAGCTCTCTATGAGAGCGCAGCTGGACTCACGTGTGGATTACAGTGCACGCAACGCTCGACAACAATACCTGTCTAAAGAACAATGTTTACCCGAGAGCTTTTCTCATCTGGAAATGGTGAGATCTGGATTTGCTGCTCGTCTCCTTTTTATAAAGATGCTGCTCTAGTTGGTGTTGATTGTCCTGACTCTACAGATTTGGTAAGTGAGCGACCAGTGGTCTTTGTTTGTTTATTCAGATAACAAAGTTAAATCCTATCGTCAGCAATACTCTTTCAGTGTTTAAAGACGGACCTAAAGTTACTAAAGTTTACCGTACGTTAATATCACTACAATATTATGGACTGAAAGATCCGCTGTAAATGCTGCTCTTCGGGTGCAAACATGTTAGAATGAAAGAGCCAAACTGCGGTTAAAGTCCACCATTTAATAATGTGTCAAATAATTCAATTGCTGATGTCCATATAAACACAGTCTTTAGCCCCTTTCACACAGTGATACCGGTAAATATCCGGAAAATTTCCGGAACGACTTTACCGGTATATTCAAAAAAGCGCTGTTCACACAGGCGAGGACGTTACGGAAATTTTCCGGAAAAGAGCATTCACACATCCATTCCAAAATACAGGTAAATTCTGACATCATTCACCACAAGTGAGCTTTAAACGGCTGCGCTTGTATTTGTAAACATTTGACTAAATTACAAACTCTGTGGATGACCAATATTGTGAACAACTTTCGCAGGATCACTTTCGCATGTCGAGATGTTCATATTATCTGCGTGTGCAGGCGCTCATATGCGCACGCAAAGCTTGAAGGTAAACAAACAACGGCTTATCATAAGCATCTCATCGATGATTATTTACACAGTTGGCATTAAGAAGAACATATAAACGTGATCTGACTAACTTCTAGCAGCTAAATGTGTCTGAAAAAATATTCAAAGGCTTTTATTCTCACAAACCGCGCGGACGTAAATGCGTCTGACTGTTGTGATTGGCTAAAGCAGACGTCCCACGTCACCACGTTCTAGACGTGCATGCGCTTATTACGGGAATCTTCCTTCTGCATTCACACAGCGCAGCATTCCGGCAAATTGCCGGTAATGTTACAACTTCTCTTTCCGGAAAATAGCCAGAACGAATTTACCGGTATTTTCAAAAAGGACCTGTTCACACATACAACCTTTCCGGAAAATTGCCGGCAATTTTCCGGAAAGGTCTGTATGTGTGAAAGGGGCTTTTGTCTTTCTCCCCTGTGTGTGTGTGTGTTTGTGTGTGTGTTTTGCCTCAGTGAAAATCAGCGCTCCCATTTTTATGCAATTTTTTTGACTTTCCCACTTTTGCTCCTCTGACACTCCCCCCTAAACAGAGCTGGATACGCCCACTTTCCTGATTTTTTCCAAAGTAGAGGTGTGAAAAAACCCTGCTGAAACAGGGGTTTCATGGCATTCATGTCATCAGCCTCATTCCGCTTCCATGGCTCTCACAATAATCACTGTTGCCAAGCCGACCAATCACAGATCTTGCACTCCGCTTTTTTGGTGATATGAAGTTGTGTGTGTGGTTGTGTATGCAAAGGTTATGCTGGATCTACTATGTGCAGAAATATAAACTGGCCGTTCAAGAGTTCACACTTAGCTTGGCATGCTGCCCCGGGAGAGAGCCCTGAGCTCAAAAGATCCTCGAGCCCGGGGCTCCCTCCCATTGCAAGGCGAGAGGGGAGTTTGAGCTCTGGTAGAACTCGAGAACTCCCCTGCTGTAGTAGCTAATGAACAGATAGTGCTTGCTCTTAACAGATAACTAGGTGCATGTCTAAAGTTCCGATTTTAATTAGTCAATTAACTTAAGTTGCATGTTTTTGGACGGTGTGAGGAAAGCGGAGGAAACACATGTGAGCACGGGGAGAACATGTAAACTCCACACAGAGACGTCGGCTGGTTGGGTAATGACCAGAACTAAAGACGTTCCTACTGTGAGGCAACAGTGCTAACCACTGGGCCACCGTACCCCATCAAGGAAAGGAGGAGGAGTAGGGGTGAAAGGGGGATTTTTCAAAACGAAGACGACTGTGGTATGAAACCTAGGGTATTTATAGTGGCTAGGAATTGTCTGATTGGGGAATGATAAATTGGATAATGCGGGACCAGCCGCAAGCAATCATGAGCGTGATCCTTTCGAAATTAGTTTATAAATAAACTTCACTAAGTAAGCGCTGTTAGAAGCTTCTGTAGTTTTTCTCGAACTATCTTGAATCAACATACCAGAATAGTGCTGCCAACATGTGGACAAAATAATTCATAAAAAAAATTGATGTGCGACCTGCATACTAAGTTTTGTACAATTACATAAACCAGGTGATGTATGTACAGTACATGCGTCCTATTCAGATAAGGTAATTATATCATGCACTGTAAGCAGACCCTCATGTTAAACTCGTTAAAAACTGAAGTACACTTTGGTTGAACAGATTTGTACATTTTAACATTACTGGTTAAACAAGTACAAAACTTTTGCGCTCAGAAATGTTCCACATATTCAATTACAGATGCAAGGACACTCTGGTGGCCTTTCGGTCTAGTTTTTGCATCGCGTTACGAGTCTCAATAGTATAAACAAGGTTGGAATGTGTTGTTGGTGGAACTTTTGGTATTCAGAGTAAATAGTTCACAATTTGGAATCAATGAAACAAGATGGCCACAAAAAGGGCAATAAATAAAGTCAACTCAAAGCATGCTATTTACACCACAAAGTAAACTCAAGAGACTGTAGATTTTTAAATCAAGCATTTTGGTGAGTCCATTTTCAAGTAGCCAATCATTCCACCTGTAATCTTGTCACCCTGTTCAAGACAAATAAATACGGAAAAACCAAGAATAATTCAAAATCCAATTAAGAAATAAGCACTATAAATCAAGTAAAAACAATAAATAGATTCCGAACGTCTCTTAATTTCGATATTACTTTTAAAAAATCATTAATTTCTTTAAAAGCAAGTGTCATTACTGGTGAAAGTCATGTGCAGGTTTCTCTTTTAAGCTGTCCTGTAAGTGCCGAACATGTTATGACGTCTGTTCCCATTCTCCATATCTAAAAATGACACTCTTGTGTGATCTCTTACATCAACTAATGCCCTCAAACAGACCAGGAGCATATAAGAAAATCCTTGAAGGGACAAAAAAGGGGGGTATGAAATAGTCCCTTCTTTTCAGAGTCTCCTTACAATTATAGTTCAATCTCAAAAGTCTTCTGCAAGTCGTTGGAAAATGGGTTTTGCGCCTTGGGTTGTGATTTGGACTCCAGGGCGGCCCACTTTGCATCGAAATGCTCGGCTTCCTTGGAGTTGATTGTGGGATTCGGATTCTCCATGGGCCAACCAGAACCTCCTTTAACGGCAGTACCGTTTTGCGTAACACTGGTGGTCGTTGATGGAAAGGAGTTTTGTGGGTGGCCATTGATTGTTGGAGGAGAAGCGAACGTGGTGGTTGGAAGACCTCCAGGAAGGGTGGGAAATGCTGAATGTTGGCTCCCGCCAAGCGTACCCGTCTTAGGCCCCATCCCGACCCCAATTGCCACTCCACCTCCTGTACCGGCTGCACTGCAAAATACATTCGCCACCATCTGTGAGGGTGTGATGCCCACCACGGGTACACTTGCATTGGGATAGGTCATGCTGTTGGCTAGAGTGGGCATGTACGGCTGCATAGGTACAAACGCCGGTTGGAGCGGCTGTTGGGTGAACATACTAACGGGAGCAGGAGTGACGTCAAAAGCCATCGGAAATGGCTGCATGGATGTTGGGAGGGAACCGGGTGCAATGGGCATGGTGGGCACCGGTGGAGGCTGCTGAGTGGGTGGTGGTGGTAAAGTAGGTGGAGTCTGCTGTTGGGATTTCACCGCTTTAGCAACTTCCTCCAGCCATCGTTCTGCTTCGGACGGGGTTCGTTTGTGGCCACCCTGAGGAATGGGTGGAGAAGACTGGACCGGGGGCTCTATTTGGACCCATAAATTTGTAGCTGAGGAACAGAAAGGGGGTGAGAATGTTAAAATATGCCTGTCCTGTTCAGGTCAATGGAATAATGTTTCTATAGCACTATAATACATATTGTTTTAACAGTCACTCTCTTTTTACCACAGAATTAATCATTCATATTCAAACATGAATATAGACCATATCTTAAGCCCCATCCACACCGCCAGTAACTGTATCGCTACTTGCCGTTAGTGGCTAGCAGTTTGATGGGTGTTACCGCTACTGGTTGGCTAGTAACCAAAATTTGTAACCAAAATGTTTAAACAATTTGACTCTTTTATGTATAAAAAAGATTTTCTTGCTGCTAAAACAAGCATTTTAGGGCAATTGGTACAAAAAGTATAAATAAGAAAAGATGGAGTTGAGATGGTATCTATGGTTACTGCAGAATAAGGGGCTGATCACACCGAGCACGCTTTTACAGTCAAAAAACGCAAGGCGCACCACACAGCCATGGCAAGAAAAAGGGAAGTGCAGTGCACTTTTTATGTCACTATGCAACGACTGAATCATCTGCCTATTGTGCCTGAGTGTTGCTGTTGATATTGGTATAATATTAATATTTAATAATATTGTGATGTCCAAGATTTGTAAAGTAATACAGCTCCGGATAACTCAAAACAGCAACCACTAGTCTCTCCTCCATCTTTGAAAGTCTTCCTAATCATCTTGACAACACAAACACTACTGTCACCTCAACGGAAACCCCGCTTCTGCTTTCATTTGATTGAAGATGGTAAAACATGCGACTGACGTAACGTGTTTTTTTCTGCTCAGAGTTGACTATTTTAACTGCGAGTGCACAGCATGTAACGGCCAAAAATGCAAGGCGCGCAAGGCACATAAGCAGCAGGCAAAACTCTCCCGACTATTAGTAAACCACTCAAAAAAGGTGACTCTCAACACGAAAAGCATGTTCGGTCTGATCAGCCCCTAAATTGTCAATTGTAATAGATTTTTTTTATGTTTGATACATTTCAAATCCACTACACTTCAAAACCGAACCGAATCATAAGACCAGTGTAGGTTCACACTCCTAAATATTAAGGCTGAAGTCATCAAACTGACGTCAACAAAGAAGGACTGCCAAACAAACAAATGGGCAGATTTGATTAAAGATTATCAAAACAAAATTCTTTCACTTTAGATTAATTGTTCACCTAAAGAATAATGAAGTGCGCTAGCAAAACATAGTAAATTTTGATTTCACCTGGACCTTAAGCTTTCAAACCATTAGTAAATATCACAGAGCAAAAAGCAATAAATGCAGAGCACTTCCTTTAAATGGTAACAGTGCTGATGTTGCAAAATACATCAGATAGAAACCAAATTTGATTCAGCTATGAAGCAGCTCTACAGATAATTCAGTTCATGTTTATTTCCTCATCCGAGTCCTCATCTTTTTTACTCATATCAGTGTGAGGCTTATTTCAGCCCATGTTCTGCATCATGTGTTTGTGTTGGCCGGTGTGGTCTGGTACCTTGAGGAGGGGCAGGTGGAGGAGGGATGGCAGGTGGAGCGCAGCTGATGGGTAAGCAGTTGTTGGTGGTTTTGGCACACAGGTCTTCAGATGGTTTGGTGAAAGAGCTATTGATTTGGCTGCACAGAGCGTTAATGCTGTCCGCCTCTCCAGCCACTGTCAGATCCATCTCTGGAACTGAGACAAAAGCACAGACTCCAGCTCAATCACAGCTCTGAGCATCATTCTGCAGGACATGCATGCAGATCTTGTCTTTTTTTTTTTTTTACTTACTTAGTTAGCTATGCAATGACCAAAAAAAAGGAGTAGCAAGAAAATACTGTTCTTTTTTCATTTCTATTAAATGCATCCCATTTTCAACAAAAACATTAAGCAGCACATCTGTTTTCAACACTGATAATAATAACAGTAAATGTTTCTTGTGTGCCAAATCATTATATTAGAATTGTTTCCTTAAGGATTGACTGGAATTAATCTGTTTTATAAATGTTTGTTACATGGCAGAAATTCTGTTTTTCCTTAGGTTCTTTTTACCTTCCCAATGCCACCTTAGCTAATTATATTTCAGCAGCCATGTTTGCCTTTTTGGAAAACGACGTATTTCATTCAATCATGAAGGCTCTCAGAGAATGTGTCCGAGACCGAAATGCATGTAGTTCTCCGGAGTTCCACATGAGGTTATTAATTAGCAAATAATCTAAATATTTCAAAAGTAAACATTAGAACAGTAGTTTATTGTAACTCTGTGTCCTAACAACACGCTACGTAACAAGACTTGCAGTGATAAGCAATTTGGTTGTTCAGAAAAAATGTGACAGAAATTTAAATACAGCCATTCAGAAGCACAGAAAAACATTACTGCACTGCACTCCAGAGAAATAATAAAGTTTACAATCTAATTAATACCTCTTTAGCATTATTATTTGTACATGCTGAATGATTGATATGTGTTTACGTAGATTGACCTGAAGTTCTGAAGTTCAATTTTAAACGGTTTATTTTATTTTCAAGATCTGAGGTGAACTATCCACTGCTGCTTTCAGTATAAGGCAATAAATGTCAGGTAAAATGGCATTCAAACTCATGAGGTGCACAATCAAGCACATGAGGTGTACCTGTACCTGAGGTGATCATTTTCATTTATACTGTTGTTCACCAGTGGGAAATAGATGCCATTTTTAAAATAGAAATTTCAGGTGTAGGTTGGGACAAAAACTTTTTTAGTATGGTAAATATTTCATCTATCGTGTGCTGTTGCTTTTATTTAGATAACGGTTCAAATCAGCCTTTAGGCTTTATAGTCACGTGGTTGCCTGAACTCAGAGGAGCAAAGTGAAACTTTAACAGTTAAACCATGGTTCTGTCATGAAGAAGATTGAGTTGAAAGGGATACTTCACAAAAAAGTATTCTGCCACCATTTACTCACTCTTTACTAGTAAAAAGAAAAACAGTTTTTTTTGTTCAGTTTAATAATAAATATGTAATATGTAATATATGTAAAAAAAAAATATGTAAAAAACCTCATTGGCTTCAATAGTAAGAAAAAAACAAAGCACTATGAAAGTCAGTGATTACAGTTTTCCAACATTCTTCAGTGTATCTTCTTTTGTGCTCAACAAAACAAAAACAAAAAACTCAAAACTGGTTTGTAACAAGTGTGAGTAAATAATGACAGGATTGACTTTTTTTGTAAACTATCCCTATAAGACTTATATAATCTCACAGAATGCACTTTTGTCATTCGATTTGCTGTACAGCACTACTTTTGTTTTATTCTGTGATCTTTCATGATAAATATAATGGAATATGTCCAGTTATGTTTTTCCAGTCTCAGCTACAGTACAAAGCATCTTTTCCACAAACATCTGCACTACACGAAGTGACGTCCTCAAGCGTACACATTTAGTGGTTTACATTATTCACGGCTGAACCAGAGTCATACAGTGCTGTTGAAGACATGACTCATAACTGCCCTTTTCCAATCTACTCGAGCGAAGTAAGTCGAAGATTAGAAACAGCAGCACAATTCTCTGCAAAACATGTTATTAATACAGCGCCGCACTGAACAGATCGATGCAAGGCACAGATATACTGCTAAATGCTGCAGTTTATGGTTTGCTTAAATGACTTTATGGCTGCTATCATAAGGTTTCAGCGTAAACGGAGAAGTGCTTTTGTGTTTATTTGTATGCAGACGGAGCATTTTACATGCTGAAGTCCTCAGGTTGATGATGCACATATGGTAAATGGTGTGAGATAAGATGCTCAGGGCTATTATCTGGAGAATCTGTACTCAGTCAATATACATTTACACTTGGATCATAGTCATGTGCTTTAGTTCAACACAGGGATGCACAAATACTAGGCATGAACAATATAAAAAAGAGATAATATTGTTGCTGTTTTTTTTCCAGAATGAATATTAGATTATATATTTCACTCAGTGTATTTTTTTGTGGTGGTATTTTCGTTAAGGACTGTCATGAATAAATAAATATAACCCTAAAACCACCAGTAAGTGTATTTATTGGGTGATTCGCTGAATCATTCATTCAACCGATTCATTTAAAACAGCTGATTTAGTAGCTGTCTTAAGAGATTCACTGTATCATTCATCAAATTGATTACTTTAAAACAGCTGATTCATTTAGAAATTAAGCAAGTGCCTGTCTTCAGTGACTCACTGAATCATTCATTCAAAAGATTCATTTAAGACAGCTGATTAAGTGGCTGTCTTGAATGAGTCACTGAATCATTGTTAATTGATTAATTTAGAAAGTAAGCCTGACTTTAGTGATTAGGTGAATTATTTATTCAAGTGATTCATTTAAAATAGATGATTAGGTGATTTACTGAATCATTAATCTAAGTGATTCATTTAAAACTTGATTTATTTATATATAAGTGCCTGTCTTAAGTGGATCACTGAATCATTTAATCAAGCAATTCATTTTAAACAGCTGATTCATTCAGAAATGAAGCAAGTAATTGTCTTTAAAAAAAAACTGATCACTCAATTGAATCAATGATCCCTTTATTTGAAATAGAGGCACAATTAATCTTTAAACGTTTACAATCTTGATTCAAAAACCTACAAAAATATGATTTGCATGTTATGATTACAATGATACATTTAAATCTGTAACAGACTGAATGAAATGGTCTTTAGTTTTTTCAATCTGTCTAATTTTTTTCTGTATCGCAAACATTCAGATTACAGTAAGGCTTCTGGTATACATGCTTATAATTCAGATTGACCTTTCAAATGAAGTTTGTAGCAATTACACTCTTCTGCCAGTAGGTGGTGTACCCATTAAAATGTACTTGTCACTGAATAGTTCAAGAGATTTTTCAAAAATACTGCTTCATTTAGTAATGAACATCTGAAGTGTTTGGTCAGTAACTGAAGAGTAGCTGTTTAAACATTAGACCACATGAGTGTTTACTCTATCAAAGTGCTGCTCAGGTACACAAACTAACCTGGGTTCTTGGTCTGGAAGTCGGTCTTGCGCTGCAGGGTTGACGGGAGATCATTGAGACGCAGAGAAAGCTGTCGTTTGAACGGCGAGTTCTTCTGGCTGAGTTGAGGAAAGCCTCTGAAGGATCCCTGTCGCACCAGCTGCTCGATGGGGGCGTGTCTGCGTGGAATGGCGTGAGGGCCACCTGGCTCCGCCCTCTCACCCGGTGACCCCGCCCCTTCTGGAGGAGATGCATTTCCAGGCGGCAATGCAGAAATCCCACACATTTCTAGATAGAGGACAATTCATTGATCTGTCAATTATAATATCATTTCAATAGTATTTTCTGTATAATTTTAAATTTCAGTTTAAATTTAGTTTACTTCATTAATGGTTTTGTTTAATTTTAATTGAGTATTTTTTATTTATTTAACCTATTTGTTATAAAAATAAAATATTTTTTTTAAACAAAGACTGAACTCAAAGCAATATAAAGGCAACATATTACAGTTAAAAACAAATACATTTAACAAACAAACTTCTGTTGTTAAACATGCCTAGTTACTGCCTAGTAATTAACATTTTTGGCAGATGAACAAACCATTCAAATCATTGACAGCATTTTTTTTGTGTGTGTGATCTGGTGTGATCGTATGCTTGAGGGACAAGCAAAGGCTGATCACACCGGTGTGATCGTATGCATAAAAGGATTAGGGCAAGTTTCACCTGGCAGCCATCTCTGAAGCACCTCTTGGGCAGTATGCTTTAAGATACTGTTTGAATAGGGAAACTATTTAATTCTACGAAATAGCTTGCCAAGCTTACAATTAAATTACAAATTAGGAATCGCCAATAAAATTAAACAACAACTGTCTCTTTAGTTTCATTTCTAAACGCTAGAATCCCACAACATTTGCAGAAACTCACAGGTGTTCTGAGCCCCTCCCCTGGAGAATCATCACTTTATAGCAATCAATGATTGGCTTCTGTAATAGTAAGCGGGGCTCAAATGTTCTGAAATGTTTCAAATGTTCTGAAATTTGTATTTTTATTTTGATTTATGATAGACTCTGGTTTCAGTTTTACTAGTTTAGTCATTCCTCCCAGTAAGCATTGTGTTTGTGAGTTGGACTGACCTTTCTTCTTGTCTTGAATCTGCTTCATGATGTCCTCACGGTCACTCTGTTGTGCGGCGGAGGACACGCGGAATGAACCTTCCCTCACAAATGATGTTCTGCTGGCATCGAAAGAGGCTGTGACGCCACACTCCTTTTCTCTGCGCTGCTTCCGCTCCAGGCAGGCGGCAAACGCACATCCCACTGCATGACTGAGACGCTCGCCCTGACCATCAGGACAATCAACTCACATTAGCATCATCACAATACAATATGCTCCAAATAAAAATGTAAACATTAATAATTTGTGTTGAGTTAAGTATACACTGTATATGTAATACATACTGGGTAAATATACACAATAACTGTAAATATACACTATAACTGTAATATATATTGGGTTTCACACATTCCCTTCATGTTGTCCCAAGGCAAATTAATTAAGTTAACTTAATAGTTTTTAAAATTTTAAGTTGATTAAACATAAAACAATTTTAGAAATTTTTGGGATGAAATACTTTTCTTCACTGTATTTATGTTTTCATTTAAAGGATAGGTAATTTACGTTTGTGGTAGAATGTCCCTAATACATAGATTTAAATATGCCAATATTTGACTATATATTTGCAGATACCTATATCGGACTATAGATGTAAAGATACCTATATTTGACTATAGATTTAAATATACCAATATTTGACTTTAGATTTAAAGACTCATAAAGTTGAAGTTAGAATTATTAGCTCTCCTGAATTAATCGCCCCCCGAATGTTCAGTTGACTATTGGGAAAAAAATTTGCTTAAAGGGGCTAATAATTTTGATCTTAAAATGGTTTTTACAAAATAAAAATCTTCTTTTATTCTAGCCGAAATAAAACAAATAAGACTTTCTCCAGAAGAAAAAATATATTTTCAGACATACTGTGAAAATTTCCTTGTTATAGGAATAAAGGTATAGTGAATAATTCTGACTTCAACTGTACATTTGACTATAGATTTAAAGTTACATATATTTGACTATGGATTTAAAGATACTTATATTTGTTTATAAATTTAAAAATACCTATATTTGACTAGATTTAAAGACACCTATATTTGACTATAGATTTAAAGATACCTATATTTGACTAAAGATTTAAAGACACCTATATTTGACTATAGATTTAAAGATACATATATTTGACTAAAGATTTAAAGACATATTTGACTATAGATTTAAAGACACATATTTGACTAAAGATTTAAAGACACATATATTTGACTCCAGATTTAAAGACATATATTTGACTATAGATTTAAAGACATATATTTGACTACAGATTTAAAGACACATATATTTGACTATAGATTTAAAGACATATATTTGACTATAGATTTAAAGACATATATTTGACTCCAGATTTAAAGACATATATTTGACTACAGATTTAAAGACATATATTTGACTACAGATTTAAAGACATATATTTGACTACAGATTTAAAGACACCTATATTTGACTATAGATTTAAAGACACCTATATTTGACTAAAGATTTAAAGACACCTATATTTGACTATAGATTTAAAGATACATATATTTGACTAAAGATTTAAAGACATATTTGACTATAGATTTAAAGACACATATTTGACTAAAGATTTAAAGACATATATTTGACTATAGATTTAAAGACACATATATTTGACTATAGATTTAAAGACATATATTTGACTAAAGATTTAAAGACATATATTTGACTATAGATTTAAAGACACATATATTTGACTATAGATTTAAAGACATATATTTGACTCCAGATTTAAAGACATATATTTGACTATAGATTTAAAGACACATATATTTGACTATAGATTTAAAGACATATATTTGACTATAGATTTAAAGACATATATTTGACTATAGATTTAAAGACATATATTTGACTCCAGATTTAAAGACATATATTTGACTACAGATTTAAAGACATATATTTGACTCCAGATTTAAAGACATATATTTGACTACAGATTTAAAGACATATATTTGACTATAGATTTAAAGACATATATTTGACTCCAGATTTAAAGACACCTATATTTGACTACAGATTTAAAGACATATATTTGACTACAGATTTAAAGACACCTATATTTGACTATAGATTTAAAGACACCTATATTTGACTACAGATTTAAAGACACATATATTTGACTATAGATTTAAAGACACATATATTTGACTATAGATTTAAAGACACATATATTTGACTATAGATTTAAAGACATATATTTGACTATAGATTTAAATACATATATTTGACTCCAGATTTAAAGACACATATATTTGACTATAGATTTAAAGACACATATATTTGACTATAGATTTAAATACATATATTTGACTCCAGATTTAAAGACACATATATTTGACTATAGATTTAAAGACACATATATTTGACTATAGATTTAAATACATATAATTGACTATAGATTTAAAGACACATATATTTAACCACAGATTTAAAGACACATTTATTTGACTATAGATTTAAAGACACATATATTCGACTATAGATTTTAAGATACCTACATTTGACTATAAATTTAAGGACACATAAATTTTACTGTAGATTTAAAGATACATAAATTTGACGATAGATTTAATACAGGAAAAAACTGTTAGCCATAAGATGTGAAAAATAAACTTGATTCAGGAAAAAAAACTTGACACTTTAATTTGAAAAACACTACAATTATTTTAACAACCATTTTTAAATATTTAGATATTTCTTATTATTTATTTAGTATTAGTCAGTGTTTGTTTGTTTCTTGTTTTGGGATGGGATGGATAAAAACATCATATGTTGTTTTTGTCTAGACTAGTAATGGTGTGTTGTGATATGATCTTATTTTTAGTGTTTCCCAAGTGCAGATAATGGTGTTTAAGCAGTTCTTCGGGTTGAGATCACACTGCTATAATCCTTGTTTAATCCCACTTTGCGGGGAATGAAGGATTAATCGTTTTGTTCTCCTCACCGAGTCCTTCAGGGCCATGAAGCAGTGGCACATCCAGCGGCGGGTCGTTCCGTCACGGCAGATGTAAGAGAAAGCCTTGTCGTAGTTACGGTCCGGGGCACAGAATGACACCTTTTCAATCGTCTGATCCACAATCAGGTCCTGCAGAGAAAAAAAAAAACTGTTTGTGGCATCTTAAGGAACAATACAATGGAAAGTATATTGAAAGTATCTATTTAATCATTATTTGTAAATAATTGTTATATGGATTATTATTACTAGTATTATTTCCCAATTTCTTTTCAGAAGCTTAAATAAATGCATATAATATAATATAATATAATATAATATAATATAATATAATATAATATAATATAATACAATACAATACAATATAATATAATTAATATAACATAATATAATATAATATAATATAATATAATATAATATAATATAATATAATATAATATAATATAATATAATATAATATAATATAATATAATATAATACATTTGGTGCAAATGACAAAAAAATAAATAAAAACAATTACGAAACCAACATTTATTTTAATTCACAGAAACTAGGAGTCCGTGTCCATGATCCTCCGTCTCTGACCAAAGCACCACACGCTGGGCTTTTTTTTCCTGACTATTGTCCTAACATGAGTGAAGACTTTTGTGTGTCCTGGACCTCCCAGTGAAACAGTGGCTAGTGTTTCCTAGTCAGGGGCCACAGTTCCTCCATAATGCATGAGCTAAAGAGACGAGTACAAGAGGTGAGGGGCCCGGTTCACTGTCAGCCCATTACTGACTGAAGGGCCCATCAGAGCTCTCAAAGCCTGCTCAATGGGCTTTACAGCGGACGGGAAATCAAGTTTATAGGTCCAGGAAAGCTGACTCAAAAATAAAACAGTCTAGTCTCCTGTCAATAACACTTTGACTAGAATGACTACTGATGAGTGAAGCCGAGCTGCTTGATTACTGTGGACAATATACAGTTGAAGTCAGAATTTTTAGCACTCCTGAATTATTAGCCCCTGTATATTTTTCTTGCCAATTTCTGTTAAACGGAGAGAAGATTTTTTTTCAACACATTCTTAAACATAACAGTTTTAATAACTCATTTCTAATAACTAATCTTTGTCATAATATTTTACTAGCTATGTTTCAAGATACTAGTATTCAGCTTAAAGTGCAGTTTAAAGACTTAACTGGGTTAATTAGGCAAGTTATTGTATAACGATACTTCTGTAGAACTTCAGTCGGGAAAAAAAATATTGCTCAGTCAAAATGGTTTTAAATGAATTCAAAACTTTTATTTTAGCCAAACTAACACAAATAAGTCTCTTTCAGATAAAAAATATTATAGGAAACACTGTGAAAAATTCTTCGCTCTGTTAAACATTAATTGGAAAATATTTAGAAAGACATAAAATTGTTGTAAATCTGAATGACAGGAAAATATAAGCAGTGCATCCAGAAGGTATTCATAGCGCTTCACTTTTTCCACATTTTTTTATTTTACAGCCTTATTCCAAAATGGATTAAATTCATTTATTTTCTCAAAATTCTACACACAATATCCCATAATGCGTCGCTGACGCACACCTCTCAAAAAATGTAACTACACGTCACAACGACACGTAGCGCAAGCTCTGTCATTGGTCGGCTTGGTAGCGATAACGAGTCAGGGTGGGACCGAGAGCTGCGCGAGCCTGATGGGGCGAGTGTTTACAAGTGCAGAGTACTGTAAAAAACTCCGGATAGAAAGTTTTGTTTTGTGTTTACCTCATAGTTAAAGTTGTTGCACGTCCGCTGGTTCCTGCCTCAAAATGAGCAAGTTTGAGCCACTTGTACATTCAGGAAGCGTTTAGAAAAAACAAAACACCAGCGAAGAAACTTGACACAAAGACACATTAACACCTTACTGCCAACTAGCGTTTTGGAAGTGTTAATGCAGACCAACAGAGACAGCGCACAGAAGTATAAATGCACAGCTACGTGCGATGCATGAACCATGGGTTACGTCGGACAGAAGTATAAACCAGGCTTAATCCACGGTGCATGCAATGCGTGTAGCTTTGCATTATACTTCTGCGCGTAATCACTGTTGGTCTGCATTAACACTTCCAAAACGCTAGTGGACAGTGAGGTGTTAATGTTCCTCGGTGTCGAGTTTCTTCGCTGCTGTTTTGTTTTTTTCTGAACGCTTCCTGAATGTACAAGTGGCTCAAACTCGCTCGTTTTGAGGCAGGAACCGGCGGACATGCAACAACTTTAACTCCTTCACGGGACTCCACACTTGTAAACAATCGCTCCATCGAGCTCGCACTGCTCGCGAGGCTCCATCATCCGTAACTGGAAAATGTTTGAAACCACCAGGACTCTTCTTTGAGCTGGCCGGCCATCTAAGCTGAGTGATCGGGGGAAAGGGGCCTTAGTCAGGGAGGAGATCAATAACCCGATGGTCACTCTGTCTGAGCTCCAGTGTTCTTCTGTTGAGAGAGAACCTTACAGAAGGACAACCATCTGTGCAGCAATCCACCAATCAGGCCTGTATGATAAAGGAGCCAGACGGAAGCCACTGCTCGCCTGAAATTTGCCAAAAGGCATCTGAAAGACTTTCAGACCATAAGAAACTAAATTCTCTGGTATGATGAGGATAAAATTTAACTCTTTGGAGTTAATGCCAAACGTTACGTTTGGAGAAAACCAGGCATCGCTCATCACAAGGCTAACACCCTCTCTACAGTGAAGCATGATGGTGGCAGCATCATGCTGTGGGGATGTTTTTCAGCAGCAGGAAGTGGAAGACTGGTTAGGATAGAGGGAAATATGAATGCAGCAATGTGCAGTGACATCCTGAAAAAAAACCTACTTCAGTGCTCTTGACCTCAAACTGGGGCGACGTTTATCTTTCTGGAGGACAATGACCCGAAGCACACAGCCAAAATATCAATGGAGTGGATTCACAACAACTCGATGAATGTCCTTGAGTGGCCCAGACAGAGCCCAGACTTAATCCTATTGATCAGAAAAATCCAACCTGAAAGAGCTTGAGAAGTGCTGCAAAGATGAATGGGCAAATATTCCCAAAGACAGGTGTGCCAAGCTTGTGTCATCATATTCAAAAAGATCTGAGGCTGTAATTGCTGGTAAAGGTGCAGCAACAAAGTATTAAACAAAGGCTGTGAATACTTCTGTACATGTGATTTTTCACGTCTTTTATTTTTAATAAATTTGCAACAATTAAAAAAAATCTTTTTTCACATTGTCATTATGGGGTATTGTGTGTAGAATTTTGAGGAAATAAATTCATTTAATCTATTTTGGAATAAGGCTGTAATATTAAAAATGTGGAAAAAGGGAAGCGCTATGAATACTTTCTGGATGCACTGTACATTTACAATGAAATTTTGATGTCAACAAATGAAGTAGACCAGACAAAACATGAAATATTTTTTGTTCATATAGTCTGCAATGAAATACAAGTCAAAATAAATTTGGAAATCCCTACTTTCTTTTTTTTTGCACTTTCCATACATTCCCAACATTTTTGTGATTTGGGGTTGCAATATGTTGTGATTTATACAGTCTTGCTGCAGTCATGTTTTTTGAGATCCTGACCTGACCTAAAACGAAAGCTTAAACAGAATCAGAATGTAACCAAAATTTGATTAATCGTGAGTTTATCAGGAGAGAGTGGAGGAGCAGAACAGGACACACAGGTGGTGTGTGTGTGTGTGACGGCGGCAGGAAGGATTATTTGTCCCTGTTGACTCATACATACAGGACGATTACCAGAAGAGCACAGCAAGTGAATGCTGGAGTCTGAGGCCTGACGAGAAACAAAAAAAGAGAACTTTGTGGCTTTCCGCCTTTGACTGTGTGCATTGAAAAGGAAAAACAGGGCATAATTGAAGCTATTATGGGAGGCCTTTGACCTTTTCTGGTTAACTTTCCGGGTTTTGTGTGAGGGAAGGATGTTACATTAATCCCCAAACTTTGAAAAGGAAAAATCCAGCCGTGAGAGGCATGGGAACCCTTGGCCTTAAAAGTCATGTCGTGTCTGAGTGATGCATCATGGAGTGGGACGATCATGTGACGGCTCTTCTGGAGCTCAGCCAGCTTCCTCCTACCGCTTGTTGTGTGTTTCCTGCAGTTTTTCTCTTGCACTGACAGACTCGGCTAATTGACGGCTCTTTGGGTCTTTAAAGGCTTTTTAAACTTATTAAAGGGGTCATGAACTGCCTTTTTAGTTTGTACTGTTCTCTGTGGTTCACTTTTGATGGAATCTAGATTTTTTTATGAAAAACTTTATTTAGAAGCAAATATTTCTGTCCTGGGTGGCACGGTGGCACAGTCACCTCACAGCAAGAAGGTTGCTGGTTCGAGTCCTGGCTGGGTCAGTTGGCGTTTCTGTGTGGAATTTGCATGTTGTCCCAGTTTTTGTGTGGGTTTGCTCCGGGTGCTCTGGTTTCCCCCACAGTCCAAAAACATGTAGTAAATGTGAATTGGATTAACTAAATTAGCCTAAAATTAGAATGTATGGGTGTTTATGCAGGGCATCCTCTGCGTAAATCATATGGGGAAATAGTTGGCGGTTTATTCCACAGTGGTGACCCCTGATAAATAAGGGACTAAGCTGAAGAAAAATGAACGAATGTCTCTGTCCTGCTTTAGCACTCCTCTTCTAAACACACTGAATAAATAGGTATGGCTGAGTGTAGATCAGAGGTAAACACCCACTGCTATGGTTAGCTGACAGTTTTGCATTTGTAACATTTTTGACAGGATGGCTGCATGCCCACCGATGTAAACGTCTGTATGTGTCTGAGGGTCTACATCAGGGGTTGTTAATTTTATCAAAGTTATCAATGTCTAGAACAATTGCTTATTATAGCAAAACTTGGTTTAAATAAATATGCATAAACATAAATCATTTTTAAGTGTGTTTTGTATTTAAAAATAAATTAATAACAGGTTTTTAAGTCTCTGAAAAACAAGTCATAATTCATTTAAAATCAGTGTGAACCGAAAGTTTTTAAGTTGACTTTTATGTCATTGTGTAGGCATGACATAAAACTAGAGGCGGGGCTTTTTTGTGCATCATTCCCATAGGGTTGGGCTGATAGACAATACCGTCATCCATTGCTAATGGCCAATAGATAACATGATGCTGAGCCAATCCTCAGCCCCGCCCTGTCGCAAACCCACTTGCGAAAAATACACACAACAGGCCCTGTTTACATCAATAGGTCTTAGTATTAAATGTCACTTAAAAACAAAAATGATCCACATCCACACCGTGTTTTACCTAGCATTTCTGAACAGCCCTCCGTCTGCTGAAAACACACATCACGTGACTACACACACACACACACACAGCCACACACACACACACAGCCAAACACAGTGTCATGAGCCCCTCTGAGGTTTTTTACCAACCAACCTCCCGTGGAAAAAGTGATTGGCAGGTGGTAATTTAAGTGGTAACTTATCTCTATTTAATTATAATTTGTTTATGAGTAAAATAAAGACCATGCGGGTCAGGTAGTTGAAACTGTAGGCTACAAAAAGTTCATTCATCTTCACCTATGACGACAATGCCATTGTCCATCGCGATGTTTCACATTAGAGATCCTACGATGCCAAATTGGTCAACACACCCAACCCTAGTTCCCTCATAGCAAATTAATATAAAATAATATAACATAGGTGACGCGGAGGCGCAGTAGGTAGTGCTGTTGCTTTACAGCAAGAAGGTCACTGGTTTGAGCCCTGGCTGGGTCAGTTGGCGTTTCTGTGTGGAGTTTGCATGTTCTCCCTGTGCATGGATTTCCTCTGGGTACTCCGGTTTCACCACAATCCAAAGACATGCGCTACAGGCAAACTGAATCAACTAAATTGGCTGTAGTGTATGAGTGTGTGTGAATGTGAGAGTGTATTGGTGTTTCTCAGTACTGGGTTGCTGCTGGAAGGGCATCTTTAGCCTCAAACATATGCTGGAATGGTTGGCGGTTCATTCCGCTGTGGCGACCCATGGTAAATAAGGAACCAAATCAAAGAAAAATTTTTGGACAACTATGGTTGGGTCGATAGACGATGCCATCGTCAATCGCCTATGGCCAATAGATTTCACCATGCTGAGCCGGCATCACAATCCTCCGCCCCTATTGCAGCAGCAACCTGCTCGTGAAAAATACACACTCAGTCCCCGTTTACACTAATACATCTTAACTTTAAAATGTTATTTTAGAATGAAAACGATCCACATCCACACTGCTGTTTCATCTAGCATTTCTGAAAAGCCCTCTTTCCGCATTATGCTGCTGAAAACGCAATCCATGTGACCACAAACACACACACACACACACACCACACACACAGGCATGCGCTGCAGTGTATGCGCGCGTTTGAGCTCCAGCAGTCAGCAGGTGACTCTTCGGTCTTTTGAATCTGTCAGGGAACGTGTCACAGCATCAGTACACTGCTTCAATCTTTCACTTTCACGCTTATACTTAGTAATTTTAGCAAATACCTCAGATAGTGTTAGTTGGTTCCTGTTGGTTGTGCACCTTTTTTACCAAACAAGTTTGTTGACGCCACTATAACGACACAGAACCCTATTCATGCCAGAGTCACACGGAAGTGATTGACAGGTAGTAATTTGTGTGTAACTTATCTTTATGTATGATTTGGTTATGGGTAAAACAAAAACCAGGTTAGTTGAAACGGTTGGCTACAAATAATTAATTTGTTATGAATTAAATGATTATTCAGAAATAATTAATTCACCGCTGCTTAAGATGACGATGCCATCTTCCATCGCAACATTTCACATTTGACATTGTACGATGCCAAATTGGTCGACATCGCCCAACCCTATAAACAAATACAACTATTTCTTAAAAATCAAACAAAACGCTTTTTTGGACAGGAGCAAATTGAACACAATCAAGAGTGTCACCCAGTTACAACAAACTGGTTCGATTATACTAACTGGTTGTCATGACAACAGCGTCACACTTAAAATATCAATTTCGGTTTCATTTCAGATCATCACCAAAAAGATAAAAAAAACTAGCATGTTTAACTTTTATAGTAGTAGTATCCACTTAATTGCATATATAATATCTTAATTATAAGCTGTTTTATAAAAACGGGAAATTTCTGAACTCTGAAACATACAGGATGATTTTGTAGTACAGTGACCTCTTAAATATCAAAAAATCAAGGGAATTGTGATTCTAGAGTTTATGGCTTCTTTAATGGATTTCAATGAACGCTCTACAAAACAAGCTTAAGCACAAAAAACCAAAGCACACTTACCTTGGTTTTGTCGTCCACTACTCTCAGGCCATCAGCAGACACCCAGAGCACAGCCTTCACTGTCTTTTTCCCACTCTGAGGGTAGAAAAATTGAAACAACATCAATCTTTAGACACACTGGGATCTCAGCAGTACCACAGAGCTTTTGATTTGCTAGCATAAAAAAATTCTGTGAAAGTTTCAGCTTTTGTCAGCTCGATTTCTTTCCTACAACTTATCATAGAGCTGTCCAACAACATGCTGAGCTGTGATGAAATGCAGAAACCAGACACATTTCAGTGATGAGGGCTTATTGGTTAACATTCTATACTGTACTAATACTACTACTGCCTTTATTATTTACTAAGTTTGACATTTCTCAAATTGAAAAATGTAAAATGGGTTTTAAAAATGATAATTTTTTATTTATAATGTTAATTTTTAAAATGTATTATTGTTATTATTATTATCATTATTATTATTATTATTGATATTATTATTATTATTAGCAGCTCTTGTTGTAAGTTTAAACATTTTAATAACTTTTTTAGTTTTGTTGAACCTATAATTATAATAATGACAATGCATTATTATTATTATTATTATTATTATTATTATTATTATACATGCCTAAATGCATTGAGTTGCTGCCATGTGATTGCCGGATTAGAAATATGCGTTAAGCAGTTGGACGTGTGTATCTAATATAGGGCTGAGTGTATTAAACAATAATGTATATGTTTCAAATTATATTTATATTAAAAACTTGGTAAGACTTTACAATGTTGTTCCATTAATTAATGTATTTACTAACACGAATTAACAAAAATTAACAACATTTCTACAGCATGAATTGATTCACCACTTCATTATTAAAAATTAATACATTACCTAACATTAACTAAAGTAACCTTATAGTTAAATTTCTCCAAAAACTGAAATATATTTATATAGTTTTGGTGCAACCAACCAACCAACCAACCAACCAACCAACCAACCAACCAACCAACCAAACAAACAAACAAACAAACAAACAAACAAACATTTATTAGAGCACCAAAACAAAGTTACAATGCACTAGTTACCTATAAATATGTAAATTCAAACAAACAAATTAAGTTGAATATTCATACATTTATTTGTTTGATTAAATTCGGCCTATATAAATTGTTTGCAACCCCTTATCTTAAAATAACATAGTAAATCCAGTGAATAATCTTTTTTAGTGTATAGTGCACATTACCGAAAGGCTTTAAATCTTTTATTGAGTCTGTCTACCCAGAGACCAAAGCTTTAGACACTGTAATATGCTTTTAATCTGGAAACAACTGGAGGAGTAAGTGAAAGTGAAGGACTGGGATAAATCAAGAGAACCGAGGAGATTCAGTCGACGGTACAAACAGCCTGAAAGTCAGAATCGAGACCTGAGCAGACAGCAGAAGAGAGATGAGACTGAACGAGGTGGAGAGTTTGGGGGTTTGGGGAAAAAACAGAAAATAAATCAAGTCACTGTGTGTGTAGACAGACTCTGCAGGAGGAAAGTGTGCATGGACAGATGGAGGAGCGCCAAAACATTAGAGTCCCACACACACACACTGTCTGAATTACACACAGAGGAGGAAACAAGACAAGATTCACAAACAAAAGTGTGTTTCAAAAAGAATGCTTGTGTTACTGGTCTGCTACGAGATTTGTAGGCTCAGGATATGACAATTGACAGTACAAAAACGCTCCATATCCATTGATTTTCCAAACAAAGGAGACTCTGTAGACTCTCAAAGCATTAAATCATCAGTCCTCACTAATGAAGTGCTGATTTTAGTGTCTGGTTTTGGTTTTTAATGGTTATGCAAAATTATGCATTAAAGTGTTTCAGTCTTTTATTTATTTATTTATTATGTTATACATTAACTTAAATTATCATAGCTTTAATTAATTATATTATTATTTTTATTTCATTATATTATTTTTTTTACATTATATTATGCTTTTTATTATTATTTTTAATTACATTATATTATATTATAATTTTCTATTAATTATATTATATTATGTTATATTATATTATATTAAATTATCATTTATCATTTTTAAGTAATTATATTATCTTTTTTATTTAATTTATTTCATAATATATATTATATTACATTACATTACATTACATTACATTATATTATATTATATTATATTATATTATATTATATTATATTATATTATATTATTCATTCATTCATTTTCTTGTCAGCTTAGTCCCTTTATTAATCTGGGATCGCCACATCGGAATGAACCGCCATCTTATCCCTCAAGTTTTTACGCAGCGGATGCCCTTCCAGCCGCAACCCATCTCTGGGAAACATCCACACACACATTAACTCTAACTCTTACTCTAACACACATTAACTTATTAACTCTAGTAACTCTAGTGTAATTTGAATGGAAGTGGGCGTTCTAACAATATATCGCTCCCGAGTCCCAACGGTATTTCGAAACAGCATATCTGTGATTTCCTCATTCTTTTTGAGCACTGGTACAGCTAGTGCTTACGACTGTTACACATGATGAATGCTTGACCAGTGATTTCTGCAGGTGCATGTCTGTGTGTGCATCGTCTACATAACTGTCCCCAGAGCGGGCTTTACCAACATGCGAGGGCTAAGTGAAGATGCGCTGTCCTTCAGCCTGCATTAGAAAATGGCCAGTTTACTGTTAGGAAACCCACATCAGGCAAGTCTAATGTATGGGAGTCTTTTTCATGAGTCATAAGCAAATTGGAAAAAATAAAAAGATAACCCTTTGCGCGATGTGATAATACCTCAAAGTTAATTCTTTAGCAGTCACAAGACTCAGGCAGTGTGGGTGAACAAAGGCTGAATATACAACAGGAGCAGGAGCAGTCGAGTGCGGAATAAAACCGTGCAGGATCGGGACTAAAAAATGAGTCCCGCACAGATCTCTAGTTCTGTAATCAGTAGTATATGTCCTCTAAAAGCCAGAGGGCGCTCATGTGTGGACACTTCGAAATACACCACGAAAAAGGAAAAACCCAGAAAATCCCCATAGCAGTTGCTGAATAAACAGAAGATTTAACTACATTTATTGATTCAGCATGACATTTATTCACATGAATACAGCTTAATCTTACAGAAGTATTTATTTCAAACACTTGACTGATGTTAAAGTAAGGTAAAACATCTTATTCAAAGTGATATTTTCACAGAGATGATCACAGAAATTAATGTAATGAATGTGATATTAATTAAATAACATTACATAATAATATAACTATAATATAAATAACTATAATATATAACTATGGCTATGTGTAAATGCAGCTCCATCTTGTTTTTGAAAGCCCCATTTACTGCTGATTACACAAATGTGCATAACAATCATAAAATGTTTCTATTGCTTCAGAAAATTGACTGTACGTCCAAAAATGGGCTTTGGCTCATTTGCTGCCAGTCTGCTTTTTACAGCAAGCGTATGTTTTATAATGTGAGGATCCGATACTCACCACTTTTAGCTTTTTCACTGCCTCTTCACACACATGCATGCCTCTGGATTCATCCACCTCCACCAGCCCGAGATACTGCACACACACAACACAAGAGATCAGCATGACGAAACACACACTATCTATATCTCATGCTCTACACCTACCACACTATTAGCTCCCTGAACAGAAAAGGAAGCACTCTTCTGCGTTATTTTTGCTGAGGCTATTATTTTGACAAGAACATACAGAAATGACAGAAACACTTTTTTTTTTTCTTTAGGGAAATCTGTCTTGGCACAAACAGCACTAGTCTGGATTTCAATGAGGATTCTATTAGAGGGGACATATCATGCCTTTTTCATAAGATGTGAAATACATCTCTGGTGTGCCTAGAATGCGTCTGAAACAATGCGAGGGAATTTTTAGTTCGAAATACTCCACATATCTTTTTTAGAGCTTGTTAAATGTGCCTCTATTTGGGAGTGAGAAAAACACGCCGTTTTTGGGCTTGTCACTTTAAATGCAAATGAGCTGCTCCTCTTCAGAAAAGTGTGGAGCCTTTCCTCCTATTCTGACACTCCAAATACAACAAAATATAATAATAATAGAAATAAAATATCTGGTAAAATAAATAAATAAATAAAATGGCCTACAATTGAATTAAAATATCACACTTTCCCGTCTATACTCTCAATTTTTCTGTCTAATAAATAGTTGAAAAAATCCTAAAACAATTATTTAAAAAAAAAAAAAAAAAAATATATATATATATATATATATATATATATATATATATATATATATATATATATACATATATATATAATAATTATGAATTATTAAAGACACATAAGCTTGCAATCTGTCAGTGACAACATACTGTATTTACAAAGCATTTCCTCAGTAAAATCAGACAATTATCAGCATCAGACTACCTGTTGCATAATTAAACATTATATTTATTGTTACGTAGTCTAGTTTAATGCAGTATGGCCACTGAAACCATAAACATTCTTCTGTTCTCATGCCATAATTGCAGAAAAGCAATGAATGAATACTGTGCACAACTCTCAGTGTTCATATGAAAGAATAAACCACCTTAAATGCCTTTAATAATTACACTTTTACAATGTGATATGGTAATTTAACTGACATGTCTGCTTTTACTTTTTCGAAGTCTGAATCCAGCACATGTTTGACTTCAGCTGATTGAATACATCACAATTCTTTAGTTCCAAAGCAAACCAACATGACTATTATTAATCTTTAAAGGGTTAGTTCATTTACAAATTTTATTCTGTCTCCATTTACTCTCCTGTTACTATCAAACATCACTCACACATTTGAATGTGTGGTTACTGCAATATGTGCATGTAGACATGTTATCATATCAAGACCTTGTTTCCCTTTGTTTTGAATTAGACTGATCAATTTGTTATTTTTATGATACTTTCATGACATTTTAGGTAGTTTACTCCAGTGCCATTTTGTTTTAAAACAGAAGGAGTCTGATTGTAATGCGCTTTGGGTGTATGGCCATACATGATAAACGCGCTATATAAATGCACATTACTTACTTACTTAATTTCTTACTAACAGTGTTTTACATTTTCTGTGAATGCTGAAAAGTACAGACAGGTTTTAATCCGTCATGTAATTCCTGCTAGAAATATCTAATTTGTAATAGTTTTATATATCAAAATGATAATGATCAACGGGCAGCACAGTAGCTCAGTGGTTAGCACTGTCGCCTCACAGCAAAAAAAGTTGCTGGTTTAGGTCACGCATTGCTGAATGAATGAATGATGATCCCAAACACACTGCTAATGTAATGAAATCATATTTGGAGAGAAAAACAGCTGATGAAGCAAAGACAGTCATGAAATGGCCTCCACAAAGTCCAGACCTGAATATTATGTACAGTATGCATAGGCAAAATTATAGGGAGTATGAGATTCACCTAGAGAAAAAAAGAAAGATACAATATGCTAAATCTAAGGAAGGACTCTTAGAAATGCAGAAAGATGTTTGATATTAGGTAAATAGCACATCATTTCAGAAAAGACTCAACAACAAATTGCTTGGTGCTAAAGAGGTCACGTTAAACACAGATTTTTGATGCAAGTATTTTGATTCCAAAAGTAATTTTGTTCTGAACAGTGTGTCCATATTTCCCATATTTTCTGTTTGTATATTTATAGGTATTCAGTTGTTCACACAAAAGTAATGAACCTGCTCATTTTAGATAGATAGCCTCCCAAAGCTGATGGTGGCCTAAGACTTTTGCATTACTTTTGCAAGACTGTATGTTTCCTCTATCTGCACCTGTCTTCTTATCTTGAGTTTTTTTCCCATTTCTCCGAGTCTTCTGTTTCTCCCCAATTAAACCGTACCTCTAGTTCTTTGACTGTAGCCGGTCTTCGTCAACTTAATGACACAAATCCTTCTTTTCTGATACTTTATCGAAACATGTATTACTCCTTAGTGGTTCTCATCTGCCTGCCACCATTATCTCTCTCCTCTTCCTGGCAGACGCCATCTGTGCTGAAACTCCTTTCATTGTTTCCTAACCGTGGCGGGACTTGTTATAATACAATACGGTTTCATGGTCATTTTCGAACAGATAGTGTGCTTTCTCATGTGAACACACAGACTTAAATGCATTCTATTCTCATGCTCTATACTCACAAAAATTCTTCATACAGACTTTTATGAATCTATCACTACATGCATACAGTTGAAGTCAGAATTATTGAAATGTAATTCTTTTTTAAACATTTACCAAATGATGTTTAACAGAGCAAGGAATTTTCACAGTATTTCATGTGATATTGTATTATTTTGAAGAGAGTCTTATTTGTTTTAAATCATCTAGAATAAAAGCAGTTTTTTAGTTTTTTAACTTTATGGTAAATATTAGCCCCATTAGGAATATATATATATATATATATATATATATATATATATATATATATATATATATATATATTTTTTTTTTTCTTTTTTTTTTTTTCTTTTGATTGTCTTTACAATGACTTGCCTAACAATGAATTATCCTAACTTGCCTAGTTAATCTCATTAACCTAGTTAAGCCTCTAAATGTCACTTTTGTCTAAATACTAACTAGTATCTTGAAAAATATCTAGTAAAATATTATTTACTGTCATGATGGCAAAGATAAAAGAAATCAGTTATTAGAAAGTAGTTGCTAAAACTATTATGTTTAGAAATGTGTTGAAAAAATCTATCCATTACACAGACATTGGGAAAAAAATATACAGGCGGCTAATAATTTAGGAAGACTAATAATTCTGACTTCAACTGTACATGATGCATAAATGGAAGATGCATAATATGTAGATGCAAATAGTAAATTAAGACAAGAAATTTCATCCATAAGAGGGATTGTGGCTAGCTATGCCTCCATTTTCAAAATTCTGCATTTAAGTTAGACTATATTGAAATGGAAATACCTATTCCAAACAAATACTGGGTTTTTGGTGTTTTGTTTTGTGTATGAAAGATGGCAGACTAGTTTAAGCACCAGACAAAACGTAAATGTTTTAAAGTGAAAATGCACTAGTGTAAATGGCACCTTAGAGGAATCACCTAAAATGGAGGGAAAATAATCTCAGGTCTCATTAAAATTGTATTATCTGTGTTTGGAAGATCAACAAAAATCATACAGATTGGAAACATAACATAAGGACGAGTACATGATGACAATATTTGTATTTTTGGTTGAATTATACCTTATAAATACATTAAACATACTCCTGGATAAAATTAACTTAATTCATTCATTTTTTCTTCGGCTTAGTCACTGATTATCAGGGGTCACCACAGCGGAATAAACCACCAACTACTCCAGCATATTTTTCACGCATCGGATGTCTTTCCAGGTGCAACCCAGTACTGGGAAACACCCATACACACTTACATTCACACACACTGATACACTATGTTTAATTTTAGTTCATCCAATTCACCTATAGCACATATCTTTGGACTGCTGAGGAAAACGTAGTACCCATAGGAAACCCACGCGAACATGGGGAGAACATGCAAACTCCACACATAAATGCCAAGTTGTGCACTGCTGAACTGGTGCTGTGAGTGGAAATGTGCAAATTAAAGGCTGATCAAATATAAAAAGATCAAATTCTTTCATAATTAGAAGTGCAAAATCTAAACAGTTCCCTACATTCTTGCAGAGAAAGAATTACCAAAACAAAAATAATAGTTTTTCACATTGTTTTGTACAGTAGGTGCACCCGATAATAGAACAAAGTCAGATTTTTAAATCACTTTTAATCCCCACTTTGAAATAATATTTTTATGCTCACCCAAATTGGCAGATTATTTAGCTCAGGGGTCTCAAACTCAATTTACCTGGGGGCCGCAGGAGGCAAAGTCTGGGTGAGGCTGGGCCGCATAAGTGATTTCACAAAAAAAAGTCCTCAAATGTCATTATTAACAGTTTTAATTATTTCTTCTGAACATGAAGTGTCCTGAACATTAATAGAACATTGAGTGAAGATTATGAACAGTTCCTCTGAACATGGCATCTTTTGCCTACTCCTTGCTGCCAGAGACTTTACAGCGCTTCTTCTCACAAATCTGAACCACACAGATATTTAACAATGTATTTGTTCATCCTGAGCAAATATATGACACTTTACCAACATTTTTCAACACATTTTCTTCAATATTGAAATCTAATCTTAATGTATTCCTTATTTGGATGTTGCTCATTGTAAATCTTCAGCTGTTACAGCGAGAAAAACAGAAATGTAGAACTGCTGCAATGGTGGTGCAAATTAAAGGCTGATAAAATAAAGGATCAAATTCTTTCATCATTAGAAGTGCACAATCTAAACAGTTCATTTTATACACATTCCTGCAGAGAAATAATTACCAAAACAAAGGTAATAGCTGTGCTTTTTCACATTTAGATGCACCCACTTATAGAAAAAAGTCAGATTTTTTTGTCCCTTAGTTTTGTATTAGACTGATCAATTTAATATTTTAATGATATTTTTATGACATTTCTGTTCACATTGGTGAATTTTTGTTTTAAAACAGTGTTTTGAAGTTAAAATGATCCTCATGGAGACTGGCATTTTACAGCATTAAAAGCAAAATAATCTGCCAATGGAGTAAGCAAAAAAATCGGCACAAATTTTGCACACCTAAATTGGCCAGTAATTTTGCTTGTTTTAAAAAAAAAACTCACTTAAATTTGACATAATATTTCTGAAATCGGTGGTTCATTCCACTGTGGTGACAATCAGAGACTAAGCCGAAGGAAAATTAATTAATAAATGAATTGCTGAAATCAAGACAATAATTACTTGTGTTTTTTTTTCACATTTATTATTACAGTAGATGCTCCCGATTATTGAAAAAAGTCAATTTTTTTCCTTTAGTTTCGGATTAGACTGATCAATTTTTTTATTTTTATGATATCTTTATGACATTTTGCTAATAGCTGTTTAAGCTAATAGCTGAAGGTCAGATTTTCATGATGTGCCCCTTTAAGAAACATGCAGATGAGGATGTTTTTTCGTGACATTTTCTCCAGCGTAAACCAATCAAAATGTCCTCACAGGAACACAATTAATAGTCATCAGGCCAGAGTTATGTGATTACAGGGACCGCGAGGACAGAGGCCATTACAGAAGCACACATATCAGACCCCTGATGCCTCAGGCCGGACAGCGGAATTAGGACGAATTTAATTATGTAAGATTCACTGCAATACTTCCTCCACTTTATTTAATAATAAAGACCTTCTTCGGTCTTCAAAGAGCCCCTTCTCATTACACAATCCGACTGTCAAATGATTTTAATCTAATTAATTAAGAAATATTTTGACTACGTTAAGTATGTTTATCAATATTTTGAGAGAAAACCCATATAGAAATGATAAAAAGTCAGTCCACTTCTTTGTTTGTCTTAGTTTTTTAGGTTAAATATGACTGTTATGCTGTCCTTTTTCTTTTCAATTTCCTTGATTGCTAAATAGCCGAGGTGGAAAGAGTACTGAAAAATCACACTTAAGTAAAAGTACCATCACTTGCCTAAAATTGTAGTGCAAGTAGAGTAAAAGTATCTGTTGTGAATATTACTGAAAGTATGAGTAAAAAGTAGACATTTCAAAAGTTCTCAAGAGTAGTGAGTATTGAGTATTACGCTGTAAAAAGCTGATGCATTTACATGTAACCTGTGCATGTGTGTACTGTAAACATATTTAGTTTGCATTTAGTTATTGCCCAGCAGGCACATGACGTCATAAGACATTAATATTAGATTAGATTTAGGTTGTGATCTCATGTGACCAAAATTCAACGTCTAGCCAGCATTTAAGGACGTTATTTTGATGCCCAATAACGACGTCAAATGACATTGTTATTTGGTTGATTTTTGGTTGTTTGAAAGTGAACACAATCCAACGTCAAACCAACATTTTAAACCAACATCATATTGATGTCAAATACTGACATTTATTCGTCAGGTAAGGCAACCAAAATCCAACGTCTGACAGACGTCATAGTGGTAGCGTCCACACAATGTGAAGCTGTAACATCATTATTATAGGTTGGCCGTTAAGACATTGACGTCAGCCTGATGTAGGGTTCTGATGTCAACCGGATTTTCTTTTCTAAACAAAATGCAACCTCACTATAAAATTGAGGTACAACATCAATCTGAAGCTATGTGGACGTCCTGTGCCTGCTAGATGTTTAAGGCCATTTCAGTCATCATACAGATCTGTCATCTTCTCATCAGTGACATGCTTCTAAACAGTTTCTGGGTCAATACGTGTAAAGATTTTGGACATTTTCTTGAACACTTTTAATGCTTTTAAAAGTTTGCTGCAATTATAAATCACCCATGTCCATTAGGTAGTTCATTATGAGGCGATTCACCTTTTATATGCGATTTTATTGGACAGGAATCACAGGACTGATTTTTCTAATCCCCATAGACAAGAAAAAATAAAGTAGTAACTGCAGGTTGAAGGAAAATAGTAAAGTAAAAGTACCGATACAGCACTAAAAATGTAAAAGTAAAAGTACACATTTTAAAAACTACTTAATATGTTACAGTATCTGAGAAACACTACTATTTACACTTGTCTGAGTATTTGTAATTAGTTACTTTACACCACTGGTAAATAGCAGTGTACATACATGTTATATACAGGGCTTAACATTAACACCCGCCAACCTGCCAAATGCAAGTTGATTTCAGCTTTGGCAGGTTAGACAGTCACTCCCACTAGCCACTTTAGCTGGTTGAATTAATTTTTAAATAGTGGTTTTCTTAAAAGCAGTGTTCGACTATAAGGATGACAAATTGTGTGAATAAATGTGATCTTAGAATCGAGAAACAGCACGACTTACAACAATTGCTTTCATGCAAGCAATAGAAAGAAGGTGAATACAGAATGAGAGGATGATCAGTCGCGCACACAGCTGATGTGATGCGCGCGACTGCTAAAGCGCGTGCGTGCTCCTGTTTCCTTGCTTGAAGCAACCGTGTCTGGAACGCAACTGTGATAGGTTCTCGTTCATTTAGAACAGAGAAAATGTTATGCTAATGCACCCACAGTCTTGCTGCTTTCAAGAGCTCCAAATGTGTCTTTTTGTAAGTCTTTGTGTAAATCCCTCATTTTGAGTTCTGAAAAGTCATTTGAAATAAAAACTAATTGTAATGCAACGTTACAAAACCATGGCCCATTTGCTCATACACGACGCACAAAACGTGCAATAATTTAGGAGTCATGTGGACAAAAACACAAAATCTAAATCAAGTAATTGTTGCATGTCATATTCATATTTATGCATATAAATGATATTTTCCCAACAAGAAATTTGTGGCTAGTAAAAATGCAGAAAAGCTAGTAACATTGGAAAACTACTAGCCACTGTGGCTGGTGATCAGAAAAGTTAATGTCAAGCCCTACCTATATGTATGTGTGTGTTTTTTCTAGTCTAAATATCTAAAAAATAAAAAAAGCCTAAACCAAGAAGCATTTTCTGGAAAAGCAAAAAACAAACTGTCATGCTGGTTTTAATGAGAAACTCACTTGATTTTGATCTATTATTTTTGAAACAAGATGATGTTTTTGCTTGTCTAGAACAGTGGTTCCCCAAGTGGGGGTTGAGAAACAATGGTGGTTCGAATGACAGTGTTGGGGGTCGCCTGGTGATTTCTGAAAAAATCTAATTCATTTTTATTAAACTATTAGTAGTACTTTGATCAATATTTTACAAAATATTAAAAAACAGTAGTAGTTAATAATAAAAAAAAATTATTGGATTATGACCCCTTACGTTAGATTAATTTTTACTCTATATTGTTCTAAAACCGCAAAAATGTGCAACAATGAAAATCTAAAAGTGTGTAGATATTAGAGATCAGTCACCGAAAATGTATCAGCCGAAAATATATTATATCATTTAATGAACCCTCTCATTTCTACGCATATTTTATGTTAGCTGAGTTTATTTCAAATGAGTTTAATGAAAATGAAACAAACACTATTTATTTAGCTCATTTAATTTCATTTACTACTGCTTTATTATTAAGACATTAACTGTTTATTATCACTTAAAAAGTATGTTTTTTTACATTCCTAATCCTACCCAATACCTAAACCCAACTACTATCTTACTAATAAGCAGCTAATTAGAGGTTTATTGAACAAAAATCTTAGTTAATGGTTCGTTAATGGTTTGTTAATAGCTTGAAGTGTACGTTAAAATAAAGTGACCCAAAAAGCATCAATAAAACAAGAAAGCATCTTTGAAATACTTAATCTAAAAGACCTAGAATCTTCTAGCCAGTACTAGCCAGAAGTAATTTCACATATTAAAGGCCTTCTGTGACCCCACTTTCAGATCATATTCATTGTTATAAATTATTAAAGCAATCTGTCTATTAAAAACAATCTTGATGAATTTGGAAGCCTGCCATCAGCATTTTTCATGCACTGTCCATTTTCATTTAAAAATATATTGACAAGGCCTTAAAGCAGTCATATGGTGCATTTGTCTGGTGTTCCCAGAATGCATCTGTACATTTTCAGCTTAAAATACCTCACATTTTACATATTTTACATGTTTATGGCCATTTTTGGGTGAAAGTCAAAAGGTTTTCACATATTTTCACATGGTGCCTCTTTAAATGCAAATGAGCCTCTGCTCCTCAGAAGAGGGCGGAGCCTTCACCTCAGATTTGAGGTCATTATTTTGTTTAACCAAGGGGTAAAAATAGTATAATTTTCAGTTACCGAGTTAAATGTAAACAGTCCTACATGTTACTTCATATTATAATAAATAATAAATCATTACAAAGCAAAGTTTCAGTTTTAGGCCAATTTTATGCATCCTGAATTTGCATATGGCCCATAATATTTATGTAACTGCATACCCTCAGGAACAGACTTTGTGCTTTGCAGCTTTGCACATTTTTAGGCACTAAAGGAAGTGTAAGAAGCATAATCGAAGCCCTTTCAAAGAGCAAGTTAATTTCTCAACTCACCCGGACAGGAAAGTTGCATTTGCCCTTTCGCACAGCCTCTTCATCCGCCTGCCACTGGTGTGGTCGACTGGCCTCTGGCACGTAGGTGGGCTTCTTCCTGCGCAGGCTCTGACGCAGCTTATTCATCTCCACGCTCTCAAACTCTCTGGTGCTGAGGACAAGAAACAAGACACATCAACAAACAGCCCTTTTTCTAAATTAGAGACTATTAGTTAAATTTATCGTCAGGACAAATCCTGCTGAATGTTTTATACAGTTATTTACAGTCATGCTGGACAAGCGGGGAGTAATCACTCTGATTTGGATCAAAACCAAAATAAAAAATAGCAACACTAATTAAATCCAAACATATTTTTTGAGTATTATTATGGAATTAAAAGCAGCATGGCGTATTGGATTAAACTGAAATCGCAGAGAATGTATTGGCCTCTGTTTTCAAAACAATTGTTTGATGCCCAAGAGCCCTGTTTATGCAGCATAATTGGGTCATTCATTCTAGCCTTAATTTGCATTGGTAATTTCAAATTCAGAAAGCAAGGCCGCTCGGAAGAAGGCAATTATTTAAAGACCCACACTGTAAAAAATACAAATTTGAGTTAACTTAAAACTTTAAAGCAACATAAAGATTTTGAGTTTATTAAGCTTCAGTGGTTAAAGTTGTGGCATTTTTTTTTTTTTTTATTGACTGAAAAGGCTGTTTAAAGTCAAGTATACCTTATGGAATAATTTGGCATAACTTCATGCACTGAAGCTTAATAAAATCAAAATTGCTTTCAATTTTTAAGTTAACTTAGCTTTAAAGTTTTTACAGTGGTAAATGCTCAAATTAAAAAATCTAAATTCAAAGTCCCCTCAACTGATTTTTCTTAACTTTCATTGAACAAACAGTTCCAAACATGCAGTTAAATAGTGTTTATGACTAAATTCAACTCTGAGCTCACAAACATGTCCACCTAACTTATCATTTTAAACTGAATTAACAATTTGTAAGTTGGATTTTTACAGTGCAGCTATTGCTTTTTATCATGAAGTTTAAGGAGAATATTTAAATTTCATTTCAGTGAAATATAAATATATATAATTATATTTCAGTGTGGTTACATTTTTCACTGCTGTAAGTGCAAACACTGAAGAGCAAATCCATCGATGCGCAGCTCCACAAGTCCCAAACCAAGCAAGCCAGTGGTAAGGAACAAACTTCACCAAATGACAAAAGTGAAGAAAAAAAAAAAACCTTAAGAGAAACCAGGCTAAGTTAGGCACAACCATTTCTCCTCTGGCCAAACTGCTTGTGCAGAGCTGCAGTCTAGGCACAGGAGGCTAGAGACGCTGGACGCCTTTTGTAGAGAAGAGTTCCAAAAAAAGTTACAATGGGTTTTTAAGTGATGTTATCTTGTCGCTTTTAAGACAAGTGGTTTACTCACTTTTTTAAAGTGAATAATCACTTTTTACAGTGTACATGCTATTACAGTATTTCAATTTGTTAAATATTATTATATAATGTAACATATAATGTAACTGTGTATTTTCAGTTACCATTTAAATTTTAATTTTAGTAATTTTGTAGACTTTTGAAAACTATTTAAAACTAGTTTTAATTTTAGTTTCAGTTTGACTTTATTTCAAATACCTCAGCTTAAATCCACAGTACATTAGATAAAACTAGATAACTAGATTAAAGACGCATCTCTTTACATTAGCATACACATAAAACACAAATGCTTTTGAAATCCAAATCCTCTAAAGGATTGTTAGTCTGCATCATTTAGGGCAACCGGAGCTGGGAACACTTCCCAAAAGACATTATAAATTGAACGACATCTGCGCTTATCTTAGTCTGTTTTTATTTTTCCAGAGGTTTCCATAATCCTGGACCAGGCCGTATCCTGAGCAGATGCTGTGGTGGTCATGGAGGAGTGAAGAGCATAAGACTGATTCCTGTACGACTCCAGTGACAGAAGGGTCTTTGCATTGATCCTGAAGGGCCAGCTTGTACAGCAGCCTACTCCCATTTGCAGCTTCTCCATGATGGACGTCCAGTGTTCTTCAGCCTCCAGTGCCTAGACTGCAGTTCTGCCAAAGAAGTTTGGCCAAAGGAGATATGGTCGTGCCCAACTGAGCCTGGTTTCTCTAGAGTTTTTTTTCCTTCATTTTCATCAATTGGTGAAGTTTGTTCCTCGCCACTGGCTTGCATGATTCGGGACTTGTGAAGCTGTGCATCGATGGATTTACTCTTAAGTCTTTGGACTTTCAGCAGTGAAAATCAAACCACACTGAACTGAACAAAACTTCAACTCTGAAAACTGGACTGACACAGTCTCAATTTATTATAACTTCTATGTTAAGCTGCTTTGACACCATCAACATTGTAAAAGCGCTATAGAAATAAAGAAAGATGAAAAGACACTATATTCTTACTTTTTATGTAAAAAAACAAAAACAAAGGCTAGTCTTAAAAGTTTAATGTCATCATTACCATCTTCTCGCACAATTTGCCATTGAATATTCCCGTTGAGAAGTTGTAAACCGCAACACAAACTGTTGTACGGTCTTCTTGATGTAAACCACATGCCACCATTACTTTTATAGCATCACGTCAGTGTCTACAAGCGCACGTTTCCCAGAAGCCTGAAGCGTTGAGGCTAACAGGTGGCAGGCGCGGAGCACCGGAAGTCCTGTACCATTACACATGTCTGGCCCGCAGCCCAAATACCCGCACCCATTACACACCCGCATACTCAACTCAGGCCACATGCTGCTACATATGAGTGTGCTTTATTTCTCTGGCGTCTGGGTCTCTCCAGAGGGTTTATTCTGCTCCGGCACGTGCCTGTTGCTGAGCTTTTAGACCCTTTACACCTGCCGTCTGTCCAGGAACAAACAGCCGAATAAACCACAAGGCATTTTTAATGAGTCAACTAATAAAGAGGAGGATAATTATACTTATCGCAATTTACACTACAGGGCTGTTCAATTCTTCATTCTGAATGATTGATGAACATTCTAAGGTGTGAAATAATTTCAGATAAATGCACAGTTAAAGTAGTTCCAGACAGGTTTTGACTGCATTAGGCCCTGATATATATATATCAATATATCAATATATATCAATATAATTATACCAATATATAATTATTGACTTGATTTAAAGTTGAAGTCAGAATTATTAGCCCCCTGTTCCCAATTCCTGTTTAACGAAGAGAAGATTACTTCAACACATTTTTAAACAAAAATTTTAATAACTCATTTCTAATAAATGATTTATTTTATCTTTGCCATAATGACAGTAAATAACATTTTACTAGATATTTTTCAAGACACTTCTATACAGCTTAATGTGACATTTAAAGGCTTAACTAGGGTATTTAGGTTAACTAGGCAGGTTAAGGTAATAGGGCAAGTTATTGTATAACGATGATTTGTTTTGACTATCGAAAAAAGGGGCTAATGATTTTAACCTAAAATGTTTTTTAAAAGATTTAAAAAAAACTTTTATTCTAGCTGGAAAAAAAACAAATAAGACTTTCTCCAGAAAAAAAAATATTATCAGACATACCGTGAAAATGTCCTTGCTGTGTTAAACATCATTTGGGAAACAAAATTTAAAAAAAAATCAAAGGGGGGCTATTAATTCTGACTTCAACTGTATATCTGGTGATATGAACATTTTAATTACATTTATTAGAGATAACACCCATTGCTCGGCTTAATTTAATACAATGGCCAAAAAGATGACCAATGCTTCTGCGAGAGGAGAGGAACAGGAGGGACTTCCGAGATTCTGTTCCACTTTCTGGATTGATCTAACAGCTGAACGGCTGCCAAAGTTACAGATCAGCAGAGAGCGAGAAGACATTTGGAGATAGAGAACAGGCAAAATGCCAGAGAGAGAGAAAGAGAAGAGACTTTATGAGGAGAAGAAAGAGGGAGCTTGAGCTGTTGAAGGGGATGGAGATGAGCGCTAAACACACTCGTTGAATCCAATCGAGGTCACTGTCCTAATGTGTGTCGCTCACACACTAATGTCCTGACTGATGCTGCAACACCGATCGTCAATGCTTGAGACGACAAAACGACAAATCAGTTTTTATATTTATACAATTCAGACAGCTTTCTTAGTGACACCAGTGGCCATTAAGTGGACTGCAGCCACAAATTGCTGCTAGTGCATATGTAATGTACTGAACAAGAGATGTGACTTTAGTGTAGGACTGCAACTACCGATTAGTTTAACAATCGACAAATCTGTTGATTATTTTTAGATTAATTGATGAATCGGATAAAAAAAAAGAAAAGCATTAATTTCCAACCGTTTATCCAAAAAAATCATCCCTTATTATTATTATTATTATTATTATTATTATTATTAATAGTAATAATAATAATTATAATAATAATAAAATAAAAAAACAAAGTAGTTTTGTCCTTTTTTCAATACAAATATCTAAATATTATTATATCAAGATACATACTAGACACATGAAATAGCATAAAAATGTATGTCTTGTTTTCTTAAAGAAAAAAAAAACATCTCAAAATTAAGTGATTGTTTGCTTAAAACAAGTTAAATGTTTAGTGAATTGGGTAAAATATTCTCTAAAAATAATCTTAGTGGGATATAATCTCAAACAGAAGTTTTACCAGTTCACATAAATGGGTAAGTGATCGTGATCTATAACGTGAGATGGTTGTTGCCATGTTTACTTGCGGCCGCACGTTTGCCTCATACATGAAAAGCAGAACACGCAGGATTCAGCACCTAAATTCACCAGTTACTCCCCAAATACATGCAAGTAAGTGGCTGGTGAACTTAGAGAAGGGTAGATTCAACTTTATAGTTACTTTCACTATGTGTATCTGATATGAATAAAACACATCGGCAAATTATATTTGAATGGATTGTTAGATTTCCTTCTTTGTTTTACGAACTCTAAATGCATTCTTTTACTAGTACATGTTTGTATTTACATACATGTACTAGTAAAAGAATACATTTATACATGTATAAATAATAAAATAAGCATTAGGCGGTTTAAACGCTGCATAATTGTGATAATATGACACGTCTTTCTCAGCGGCGTTAAGTTGGTTTTGTTTTTGAAAAAAAAAGAAGCACTTTTCCGACAGTCCTTTACTGAGAGCTCTGCTCAG